GGGCCCCCGAGTCTTCGGGACGCTGCCGCTGCAATCGTGGGAGGCGTTGCGGAGCGGAGCCGGCACGCTGGCCGAGTTTGTGGTGCTGAGCTCCGACGCGGTTGCGCTTCTGCCGGCCAAGCTGGCGCTGGCGGAGGCGGCCGGGTTGAGCGCGTCGGGCCAGACGGCGCTGAAGATGTGCGAGGTCGGTGGCATCAAGCCCGCGCTCCGGCAGAGGTGGGGTGGGCACCCTGGCTTGTCAGATCGCGCGCGCGATGGGGGCGGAAGAAGTGGTGGCGACTTGTTCAGGCGCGAATGTGGAGATGGTCGGCGGATTGGGAGTTGATGAGGTGAGTGTCTCAATTTTTTTTGGCTGGAAATTTTTCTATTCCCTCTGAGCTGAATGCATGCTGATCCGTCTGTCGGTTGGCTCTTGTAGGTGATAGACTATCGTGCGATGGCTCCTTTGCCTGATCATCTGGCTCGGACGTACAGTGACCGGCCATTCGATGTGATCCTCGACACCGTGGGCACGCAGGCACTCTATGAGCGGTCTCCAAGCTACCTCAAGCCGAACGGTGTCTATATCAATGTGGGCGCCTTGGAGGGTTTCATGTGGTCTCTCTGGTGCTGGGCCAAAAACACCCTCTGGCCCACAATTCTGGGCGGCACGCCCAGGAGATACATCATGTTCAGCACGGTTCCTAATGGAAAATCGGCAGAGAAGCTCGCAGACATGGTCGAGACCGGCAAGGTAAGGGTCGTTGTGGATTCGGTCTTCGGAATGGACGAGGTGCTGGAGGTGCGTTGATAATCACCCTCTCGCACCCGGAAGAATGCTGACCATCGGAAACCGATAGGCTTATGACCGCTTGGCGAGCAAGAGAGCAAAAGGCAAAATAGTCATCAAAATACAGGATGACTGATCCGAGCGCACCTTCATGGGACTCAAGGACTTCAACCGCAGAGAAGCAAATACAACAAAGTGTCCGCAGAGACAAGTGGGCGTCAAGGGAGACTTTGGTTGGTTCGGCTACCGTAGGGTCAAGAACCCAAGATATTGGAACCTCTGGGATCACTGGCTACTCTCTCTCGTCATGGCAACACCACGCACTAACCAGGACATGAAAGCATGCATGATAGATGACTATCAGTCGGACATCAGTCAGCTTTCTAACTCCTCTGACGGCGGTAGCAGCAGCAGAGTGAAGCAAGGGCGTCAGAAACAAATTGAAAAAAAAACATAGCAAGAAAGCTGGTGGGTTGAACGAAGAAGGTTTCCAAGTATGATCAATTGCTCAATCGCTTATAGTCTGCGAACCCCAGGCAGCTGATGATAATCATATTTTGTTGTCTTCTGTCTCTTCAATGCACGATACATCCATCTACCTCCCTCCTATTCATCATCTGCGGCCTCCTGAATCTATCTTGCGGAAGGTGGATCCCTTCTCTATACCATAAACTCCCCGCAATTTCACTAGTGGTGGGACACATGCTGTAGTCCTCCACGGCGGCCCTTTGTGCCTTTTGATGCGGTGGTCTGGGCCCATCGACCTCGATTTCCCATGCAATAATCCATGAACAATGCTTCGCTTTTTCGTCCGTCCGTTTCCTGACCCGACGCTCTCGAACAACGCCAATCATCCAGAAAAGAGAAATGAGGCAGGAATTCTCTAGGCAAGAAATAGAATTGAAACCTTTTGATCTGTGGACGCTCACTGTTGTCGTACTTGTTCCTGCCAAGCCGCAAGTCATGAGCCATCCATGGTACGTGGCTGTGAGGGATCAAGCCACTCTGAAGCAAGATACATTTGGTCTCCTATTGAGAACTGGAGATGCGATAACCAATATATCAACGGTAGAAACGTTACAAAGTAGTGGTAGTCAAGGGGTGTAGGACTGACGAAGCCCAGGTGTGGGCATATCCATCACTTTTGGGCTAGCCATATGGCAGTAGAGGGGCCAGATCGTGATATTCCGGCAGACTGCTTCTGCAGACGACTCGCAGCAGGAACAGCGGTGGCATGGTTGTGACCCCTCATCCCCCCTTTCTCAATGACTCATCGAGTGGTAGGAAGTCTCCTCCAACGATATTTACTCCCTTCAGGTCCGTCTCCGACCTCGAACCTTTCTTGTGCTTGGACTTCCTTTTTTGGGTCTGCCAACCGGTAACAGACCCGTGAATACTAGCTGGTTTGAGGTCTTGAGTAAAACCATTAGGCAGGCTTGCAAGTGCCTCAGGCTTATCTCCGCTTTGGTCGACAGAAGACAAAGAGGATTTCTTTTGCTTGGCCTTACCTTTTGTCCTCGCTTTCGCCGCACCCTGTGGAGGATCTCCTAGTACTAATAACTGCCGAGTTTTGGTTGGCGATGGCGTGCGCACCTCTTTAACTGGGGAGAGCTGAAAGGCTCCTGCACGTACCTCTTTCTCGCTTGTTGAATCCCCACTCGCCTTGGGAACTGCATCAATTTCAAAGGCATGAGTGTTCCCATTGAAAACGGGAGGTTTGTTCTCCAATGATGATGATGATGATGATGATGATGCAATGGGTAGCATCAACTGGTCATCTGAAAGAGGTGCTTCGGTATGGCCGTTGACTCGTTGTCTTGTTTCTCTGGCTACCTTCTCTTTCACGGCGGGCTCTGTCCTCGCCAAGAGCACGTCGATGTCAGAAATCTTTTGTGTGTCTTCATTGTGTGATTCAGGAAATCCTTGAGAGCAATCATCAGAGCTAGTTGGTGTTTCAACAGCTACGTCATCGGAAGCTGATGTGTTCAACGAACCAGGGGCGTCGGCTTCTCGGTTGACAGAGCCATTGACCACGACAGGACCTGAGCTAGATCTGGACCGAGTTCTGGGTCGGCTGCTGGCATGCTGTGGCGGTAAGTAGGCCAATGGTTCCGCTTTCGTAGGATCTGGGTTGGTCGGTCCTACTTCTCCGGAGGAGGAACGACTCAGCTCTGTGGAGGAGGGAGGCATACCAAGTGGGTGTGCAGACAACTGAGCAAGCATCTGCGGCGACATACCACTAGACTGAATGCCTAGGCCTGAAGTGTACGTGAGAGGCGAGCCAACAACGTTTCTTGAATAGGTGGGTAGTGGTGGTGAGGGTCCGAGATAATATCCGATATACTCAGAACCCCTTCGACCTGTGCTCGGGTTGTGATAGAGGCGTCCCTGAGCGTCAGCAATCACGTCCGCAAACCCTCGGGCGCTGCCTGGGGTGGACACAGGGTCTCTGCCAGGATGATATGGCACTCCAGATGCGTAATCGTAATGCTTATCCATTGCGTTAGGGAGTAACAGTGGGGAGGGCACAGGTCGAGGAGGTTGAGAATGGGCCCGCAACGAGCGTGCGGATGAGCCGTCGATCATTGAAGAGCGCCTGTGATTTCTCCGTGAATCCGGAACGATGGTGTGCAGCAGCGGGGAAGGGGGGTTGGTCGTAGTTCCATATCCAGGCTTCCGGCCTCCAGAAGAGCTCGTCATGGAAAAGCCATGTGGACGGATTGGAGCTGAGAGTGGAGGCTGGTTGATGTTTCCGGCGCGGGCTCCCATCAGGTCTTCCTGGCCACCGGCATAAACGCCAAACGGTAACATGAAGTGAGGATATGGAGACGTGGGCATCATTCGACCTTGAAGTACAGCCTGCAGATGTAGCTGTGCACGAAGTTCTTTCTCTTGAGCTTGGAGGAAATGATACTGTTGGCAGAGCCGGTCGTGCAAAATATGCTCTTGTTGAGCTTGCAACGAAAGCTCTGTTTGAGTAAGATTGCTTCCAGGCGACAGTGGTTGGGAATATGCATGACCTCTTGTAGAGGCACTGGAAGCACGACGGGCTGGATTGAAGTTGCGATGCAATTGATGAATTTGTCTTCCGCCTCGACCACCTCCACGAGCAACTCGACCGAACGTGGGGACCGGGGGAGTAAGTATTGGTCGGTTCACAGAAGCATTGTGGCTTTTAAGTGGACGTAGTGCGTCTACCAGATTTGCTGGAGGCTCGTACTGCTCATTACATTTGGCAAGATTCGCTTCCGAGACCATCTCGAAAGCCCGACGGAGCTCTAGGTGGATACCACGAACAGAGGTATCGTCGGCAGTGTTACCCAAGTTTCTTGAAGTATTGAAAGGCTCTTCAACACAGAGACGGTTGTCCTGCAAGAAATGCCAATTTTTTTCTACCTTGGTAATCACGGTACCCGTCCTGACCGACATCACGCTTGTCTCAAAGTCAACCTCATGACCGTAATATCGAAAGAACTGGAACAAAAGCACACCCAACGAATCCTTGTTCCGTGATCCATAGCCTCTATACAAGGTAACATCCTTGTCGAAAGCGACGTTGAAGCCGCACATGAATTTTCGCTGGAGGAAAGGACCTTGCTGCAACGCAGGCAGAACAGGTGGATCCCGCGTCTGTAAAAAGTTGATAATCATGCAGATCCAGGTGTATGAGCTCAAAGTCCCGCCAAGGGCTGTGTAAGGATTAGCATACCACCAGTTCCACACGCGACAGTAACCTACCAGCTTCATTGAGCACTCGCCTCTTAGTCCAATGCTTGATGATCATTGCCAGTGGGCGAACGCGTTCGTCGATATCAACATAGGTTCGAATCATCTCCGTATTCTCCAGTGCAACCGGATTGTTGACATTCATGTCACATGCTAACCTCAAATCCGGATCCCAGATCTTTACTATAGGCACTTTCGCAACAGAGACACACACCACTCGTTGCATTCCTTCGTTAGCCAAGAATTCTGCAAGTACGCAGACTCGTTCCAACTCTTTGCAGTCTGTGGTGATGCAAATATCTACATCCGACTCCGTTGTACCCAGCTTGTTGCCCGTAGAGCCGAAAACATTGACCTTGATCGCATATTCAGGCCATTGCCTTCTGAGAATCATCTCCAGTTTCTCCACAAGTCTTTTTCTCCTTGCTTCACTTTCTTCAGACGGCAGCAGCTGATTATACAAGTCCCTCATATCGTTGGTTAATCTCTCATCTTCTGCAGTACTCAAAGACGCTTTGGGTACTTCGACTGCTGCATCCAGTTTGTCTGGGCCAAGAGAGTATGGAACCCTTCTCTTAGCATTGGCCATCCCTGTTTCGTACTTGCAACCACCGTTCGGTCTCCGGGGAGGGAGGGGAAGCGAGTCGGAATGGTGAGATCTCGGTGAAGGGTTAGATGCATTCCGTCTGCCAGACGGTGATCTGGAGCGCGATGTCAGATCACGAGGTCGTTGATTTGGTGTTGAAGGAAGTGAAGTGGACTGCTGAGATTTAAGTGTAGGTGGAGGGGAAATGCAGGCTGGTGCCGCAGCGGACTTCGTCCCCACCATCTTGCCGTCTTCGGGGGTCAAGTGTTGTGGTGGACGTGCACCTTTATTTTGGACTGGACACTCATTCCCATAGAATTCGTCTTTCATATGACAGCCACAAACAGTGCCGTTGTTCGATTGTCTAATAAAACAAGTCGCCTCCAACTCAGCTTTTGCGACGTAGTTATACAGCAAACCAAGGTTTAACGTAATGATTTAGATCCGATGTAAATGTGGTCAGAGAAATGAAGTTGTGGTATGGGAGGATGCCGTCCTCACGAACTGGACTGGGTACGTCGACTTGGTGTGGCTTCCACGCTGAGAACACCAGCCAGAAGCTTGCGTGTAACTTTGGGCAGCGTAAGTATCGGCAAAGCAAGAATATTCCCGAGTACAAGGACGTTTCGAAGTCTTCTGAGGAAACCCCCTTCCCCAGGTTCGCAGGCTCAGCTTGTACTTACTGGTCCGTATCGGGTCACAGTAGATCGCTTCTTTCTGCTGGGACTAGTATTGAGTGGGGAATCCTGGAGTTCCGGGGCTATATGCAACCGGAGATGGTAGATACTCTGACTGATGTGGAGCAAGGAGGCCGGCAGCAACTTTCGCTGTACCAGGCGCCCAAGGTATATCTTTGGTTGTCGTATGCGGAAATTGCTATGCTGAAGGAAAGGTCTTTTTGTTCGATACAGGAACGGCCAGCTATCTAGGAAGCTCACGGAAAGAAAAGGGAGAGACTTGGTGGTGTCTTTGAAGGAAGTTGTCCAAATAAGACTCGGAGTTCGCGCAGGATTGAAGGATGGTGGTTGCCAATGTTCCCTCAGGCTGGGGTCTCCAGTCCCCTGAATTTAGGCTCAGCCAAGATCCACCTAAGACACCCCTCCACCACCTACGTAGTACTGCTCAAAGAAGGAGGCCTCACTTCCTACGTACTAGTAGTACTACACAACAACTACTACGACGTAGGCATCGTACAAAGAAGGGCGAAAGTGCAACCGAGCTTTCTGCTGGCTCGGGCAAAGTGTCCCGCTTTGTTTATTCCTTACTGCCATGATCAATCAATCATGATTCATTCTTGGGGAGCACCCCTGTTAGCAGACATGAACAAGAGAGCGTTCAGCCCACCATTCTTTTTCTGGCTTGACGACTAGCTTACACACGTACTTGATTTTTCCAATGTCAGAACAGGGATCACACAGCCACAAAACCCGGCCTTATTACAACATCATGGTTTGCCATATGTTTGAAGAGAGCCTGTGGAGAGAGAGAGAGAAGAGGGGAGCTTCTCCATGATAAACAATCAGCCAGTCTGTTTATCCGGTCTCTAACCCCAATATTTCCTTTCTGTATACTCTTTGCCTTGTCGAAGGGCAAATTTGACATCTATCACGGCACCTATCACGGCATCTCTCAGCCCATCCGTGTTCACAAGGCCTTATTATGATCTACTCCATACACTCTGTGCTATTGCACCTAACTAGGCCTCATTTATTATGCAGCTAAATAATGGAGGCCAACACCGCTTCGGCACCAGAGGCCTTATGCTTCTATGAAAGAAACTCATCAACCACTGTTCGAACGCAAAATTCGTGCACCTGTCGGTCCGAATCCGCAATTCAAGTCAATAACCATTTCCGGAGGCGCCCAATCGCTTTCTAGGCGCAGGTCCAAGAACTTGACTACGAATATCGATGTCTTGTCTATCGTCATTCGTTTCACCTCATCGTTAAAGCTAGCGGAGCAGGAGAAACATTCACACCTAAAACCAAATCGTGGTTTATATTTAAAAAGCGACTGGAGATGTTCTTAAACCTTGATACTCAGTGCTCTTCGTGATCCTTAAGCTGATTTACCTCCAGCCCAATAGATGACGGCAATCAAGGTAGTCAAGATATGATATGCAGTCAATGGACTCAGCGTGACTACCTGCCTGTGGCTTTCTGCCAAAGGTACATAGTCACGAACGGTGAGACCCAAGATTCGTGTAGCCGTGGCGGAGACTTTTCTTCTCGGAATTGACTTGCCTAATCTGGCAACCACATGCATCTCAGCACTTACGCCTTACTTCGATACCTCTGCAACTTCCGCAATCTTGAGAGACACCTACCGTTCCTGAGACCCAGACAGCACGCTACTGAACCACAGACACTGTGCAGAGGATGACGCGCTCGTGTGCTCATGCCTTACTCTATCACAGGCGCAACGGCTTCTGTGCTCGACATCCGAACAATAGTTATTGCACCACCAAAAAAGCGCCAATTTCACAGTATTGGTCTCGAGCGTCATCATTGTGGCATCATGCTGCAAGATTTGAAGGAGTGCCGACCGTGGGAAGTCGATGTGATCTGCAATCCAATTTGGCTTCTCGATCTGCCTGCTTATCTCAGCCTCCTATTATTCTTTCCCCAAAGCCTTGTCGTCGATTCTTGAGCGACTTGAGCCAGCACTTGCTTTCGAAGGGGCGGTAGACTTCGTGTCTTATCCGATCAGCTTTATATGGCTATCCCCCTGAGACTGCCTCGGCGTCCTCTATTTCGGATACCTGGTTGACACTACTCTTCTGACTTTGGAGATCTGAGATGAGACGAGAAGGTGAGCTAGATCTGGGCAACCAAAAATCATGGTCGATTGAAGGAAGGCTGGAAGGGAATTCATCACCATGAGCTCATAGGTCATATCTTGTAAGACAGCTTGAGTTTTGGAATCAAAATCCGCCCACAGCTGGATGTGAGTTGGGATGTGGATCAGTAATGAGTAATATCCATATGATCCAAGTTTTGCTGGATTCTCCTCGTGCAGCAAGTGCTCAACGCCGACTAACCTTCGGTTAGGAACAGGTTAGTCAAGTTGGTGCTCGTCGTCCAAATGTGTGGCATTTAGCGGTCGATGTATGAAGATTCCATTGAAAGAAGCTCGCAGATCAGTAATTGAAAGCTGCTCTCCAGCTGCATTTTGGAATAGTTGATGAAAAGAGTCCAGGCTTTCCCAGGTGCCTCCCGTAAATAACGGCTCGCCCCGCTTTAAATAACAGTAACGGAGCAAGTCCACTAAGTAGGGCCCTCCGGCCCACCTTACCGCCTAACCTAGGCGATCAGCTAACTGTACCCAGCTAGTGCGGTTCACACTAATTCTCTGCTAATTGACACTATAATCTCAGCAATAGTTACTACTAGTACGTGGTAGTTAAGTATGATGCTTAGGTTCACAAGCTCCTCCATAAACCTCAAGAATGGAGATGGTGCCACCATCGTCTGTAGCTAACAGGTTGTTGCCTCGGTCTGTATCAACCATGTAACCACGCAACCATGAATCCGTCAGAAGAACGAGGCCACTCGGTCCGTTGGTACTGCAATGCTTTCATTGTGCAACAGAGGATCTGGAATTAGATGTGGTCTCATTAGCAACACTCGTAGTAGTACGCGACTTTTGCTGGTTCAATCCAGTCTCGAGAGTTACCAGACCCCGGCCCTGTTCCGCAAATTTCCAGTCTGCCCCCACTAACTTTTCCATCCGTGTGATAGCTTCTCCACTGAAGCCAGAACCCAGCAGCCAGAAGCCAGAAGCGCTTAACAGCTCCTTTCCTGCCTTGTCTTTGCACGTTCTTCTTCATCCCCGTCCTCCTTATCTCGAGGCTCTTCGTCGGATACCTTCAATCTGTCTCGCTGGTGCCATAAGCTGCCAAAGCTGGTCACGTTCCTTTCTGTGAGTTCTTTTCCCCAATGTTAAGAACAAGCCTGTCGGGGAAATGTTCTCCGCTTGTGGAACCTGCAGCCATTGGCTCTGCTTGCCGATCCTTGAGAAAAAAAGACTTGCTCTCCGCCCACACCATCGCCAATGACCCCTCTTCAAGAAAGAACACAATCATTATTCAATATGTCGCTATCTCTGATAAGGACAACGACTCTCAATTGCTACTTACACCGTTTGTCATAGAATTTCAAACCACTTTCCTTCCACCGTTCGGTGCCTTCTCCCGAGTCCCTCTCCTTCATTCAAAAGACCCGAACTCGATACAATCAGAGCGCACAGCTGCATACAGCTTACAGGAATGTCTTATTACGAATCGCAGGGCTGGCAGGCACCTGCCCGTCAGACATCGTGGGAACAACCACCACCACCTTCTCGGTCAGGTATGACCATGTGAAAGCCATCTACGTACGGGGGCACCAGTTGATTTTAGATCCAGGCGCTAGCTCGACCTCTCAATCGCGCGATGACGGGTCTGCGTTCACTTCACAATTTGAAGGTCAGTGTGCAGATGCTAAAGAACATCTGGAGGTTATGCTGACTGGCTGCAGAGGTGGATCGTGCCGTAGATAATCTTGTAAAGAGCGGCAAGCTCTTCGCTGGTGCACCACGCAGAGACGCATTACCTCCAATGACTGGTGGTCGTCCCTATGCCGATCATGGTACGCTCTTATCTCAAAGATGACTTTACTCGAGGAACCGAAGCTGACGATTGATAGGCGTGCATGGCAACATGTCTCAGCGACACGCTATGGATTTCGACCCTTCTCGCTCGCACTCCGCCTCGAACTTGCAGAACTTCTATGCTTCCCAGCGCTATCAAGGTCGCCAAAGCGAGGCGGAACAGGTCATGCAAGCAAAACGTCGGATGGCTGCACAACGCGAACGTGAGCTGCGGAACTATCATCAGGAACAACAATACAACAGAAGTGAGTTGGGACCAAATTTGGGAAAGTCGCTCAAGCTGAGGTGTTCAGGTGTCCTTGCAGAGATGTCTTCTAACAAGTCCGACCGCTCAATGAGCCCAAGCGCCATGAGCGAAGAGGGTCGCCGGGAATTACTGGCCCGACAGCATCGAGCTTTGTATGGGAATGATGCAAATAACTTCCTTCCCCAGGGCGGCTTTGGCGAAGAAGGTAATGCAGGCCGAGACTCGAGCTCTAACATTCCCACAACCACTGTTGGTGGCATGCGGGGCAACTCTCCAAGAACAGCTGATCCTTTCGGTATGGGACAAGTCACCAGTCAGCAGGCATCCATTGACAAGGCGAACCCAGCAAACTCTATCTCACACCCAGATGTTGGTCGTGCAGAGACTGCGACGTCGCCTACCACTGGAACTGCTCCTGCTCAGTTTGGAAATATTGATACCTCCGTTCAACAATCGAATAATACTTCAACGTCTCCAGCTGGCGGTGAGTCACCAAGTCGAGGTGTCAGCAAGTCTACCACGGCACCTATTGGAAGTGGAATGGGGGCTATCGGAACACGTTTATCCCAACAGCAGCCTCCGCCGAGTCAGTCAATTAACAAGCGGTCGACAACTCCCTTGACCTCCCCTATGAACAATTTCGGTTTCGGGTCCTCTGAGCCAGCAAGTAACAACAACACCAATGAAAGATCTGGGTCCTCGAACTCTAATCCGGCAGCTGCTCAGAAGGAGGCAAGCTCTGGTATGGGTGCTTGGGGAACAGGAAGTGGTGTCTGGGGATCGAACAAAATCGGCACGACATCTGTGTGGGGATGATGGCACCGAAACGATTACTTGATTCAACGTCGGTATATCGGTCGCAGATTGTGTTGTACGAGCATGGCATCTTAGTGTCGGCGCCTCTTGTCTTGATTGATTCAGGTGGTGCATAGCAGGCCGGATGTCCCGTCATTACTGTTTTATCGTCTTTGGCTGTGACTGTCGACTTCTTCGCCTGGGCGTGGTCTCGATTGTTGTTTTATTTGTTTCTATTGAAGTTGTGGAGAAAGGCACAGCACTGGTATGGGAGGGTGTAATTGGTAGAAAGACGCGGGAAAAAGTTGTTGTCATCATGTGCTAGGGCTGGGATATCGTGTATGTTCGGTCTACATCGTTAGGGACATGGTTTTCTCTTTTTCGCATGATTCTTTGCAGTCATGGTTTGGTCGTTTCGGGCTGCTGGTCTCTTCTCATTTTCTCACGCGAGCCCGGGCAGGATTAGTGCTGTTTGCCGGCTTGATCACGGGGGGTGATCAGGGGGGGTAATCACCTATGTAGCGTCGAACTCATAATATAAATGATATTGAGGAAGTCTTTCTTCCTCGCACACCACTTTCTGACGTTACTAAGTAAGGCTAGAACGGGTCCGATACCACTGGGACCACACGGAGTACTTAGTACTATAGTACTTCACTGCAGTTACATGACACGATTAAGGTCTTGGCATTAGGAAGTGTCACGGAGTAAGGAAGGAAGCTAAAGAGTCGAATCAATGCCCACGTTCGGGTCTTCATTAAAGCATTGCCCGCGACCCTTCCTGTCGGGCGACCGCAGTCATTGCGCAGGCCTTTGCTGTTATCAGTATGGGCTCGTGACAAAGAAATAGGGTGTGCACCGCAATGCTCGCGAAGCCTCTGCTCGTGCCATCCAATGACGCCCTCAGAGTTCTTCGTCAATTGGCCTTTGCAGGATCGACCATTGCAACAGTTGCTGTCGTGACGCTGAACTATAATATTCATCATCGAATTAGACTGGCGGAGCAGTGCCTGGAGACGAAGAAACAGATTAGAGCCCTCTCGAATGGAAACCGAGAGGCGCATATGGCCAGGGTCATCGAGGCGGCCGAGAATGGACAGGACTTCACTATTCAAGCCATGCGAGAGCAACGAAGCAGGGTGAGGCGCTTCAAACCATCACTCTTAACTTCCTCTGGCAGCCAGAGCTCGGGAGCACACGAGTCTGGAAATTCACCCATGCCGCAGGGCGGAGAAAGCAGCCATCACAAGCGGGAACGAACAGCTCAGAAGATAAGAAGAGCAACCGTCACGATGACTTCCACAGCTCCCACACATGTTTACGGACGTCCGATGCGTTACCGGAAGCCCACACGCTCCTGGCCTGACGTCGAGAGTGAGAAGGCAAAGGCGCTGGATACTCAAGCTCCACCAGCAGGAAAAGATAGGTTATATACAAAGCGAGAGGATGTTGCAGAGAAAATCAAAAGGGCAACAATGGCAATGACATCGACAGCACCGGTCCATGTATATGGCCGTCCGCCGAAGGCTGTGTCAAAAACTCTACCGAATTTACATGACTCAGTTGCTTCCTGGCTAAGCACAGCACCAGAAGACGATAACTCGACAGACGCAGCTCCTGGGCTCACTGAACCCCTGTTGGCCAGTACTCCAAGCGATACGAACCTAGAGCAAGTTGAAAAGACTACATTGTTGGGTCCACCGAATACTGATCACGGTTTGGAAGAAGCGGCCGAACGCCTTGGCTCATTAGATGGCGGGATAGAGCCCAAAATTGTCGATGAACCTCCCGCAGGAAAATCTCAAACATCTCCCAACGTGCAAGATCATCAAGTACAGCTTGAGTCAGGAAATAGTTCTACAGGGGTGCTGCAAAGCATGTTCCAGACTTCCTGGACCATGGGTACGTTGGAAAAGGAATCCAATATCAGTAATGCGGCATCTACAATTGATGAAAAGTCTAGCGCTGATTCAGAAAAACACAGCTCTCTGCCATTTGCGACCAACAATTCACCTCACTATCTTGAGTCTAATGAGTTGGTGACCTGCTTCGAAAGCAGCCCCGCGGCGCAGGCTTTGTCGCATGTAGAAACTCTCTCTGGTGGACTACAGTGTTTTGATGAAGCAAAGAACAATGAGAATAGCCCAGTGATGGATTCAGCCATTACAGAAGGTGGATTTGTAAATTCGAGACCACTTAGCGAAAAACCATCCTTTCCGCGCCAGCCAGACCATGACATCCAACCAGAACAGCCACCCAAGATTAACACAACACACCCTCCAGATTTGATGTCATGGCCGCATTTCCAGTCTTTGGATGGTTCGAACGAAACCATGGAAGAGGTACCACGAGTGGACCAACAGGTTGTAGGGTTGGGAATGGGTGATACCCTTTCTGAGCAGGATCAAATAAGATACGAGTGGACTCCTTTCCCGCATATCCCTCAGGCGCCAGAAACCATCACTAGTCTCCCAGAGCTAAAGCGCGATGTCGTGTCTCATGAAGGTGCAAAGGCTGAAAGCAAAGAGGCAGCTGTTGAGCCGCATGAAGTAAGCCAAATGTGGACTCCTTTTCCGCGCTCTCACCAGGGGCCAGAGCGGAGGACTGGTCTTCCGAACCTAGAGCAAGATGATATGTCAGTCTACCAGGATCGATGGCCTGAATCAAACCTTTCGGAGGATTTGGTGGATGGGTTGACGGAGGGTGTAGCCACAATTCCTAACTTGACAGGAACAGGAAAGGTGCGCCTAGCTCTGGTTATTCATGAAGTATTCTCATGGCAGGGTATGATGGATGGACAAAAAGCATGGCAGGCTGCAGTCAATTCACGGTTACAACACAACGACTTCGCTACCGTGGATTTCCTCTACGCGGAATTTGTCGAGCAGGGTATGATGAGCATATCCCCACGTCGTCCCATAGTACACTCTCTCCTTCAATGGCATTTTGAGAGGAGCAAATATTCTGAAAGAGCTGCTGAAATTCTTTTCCCCGACCGGTGCTCTGATTCCACTGATCTGGCCGAGTCTGACTCCTGCCATCCTCGCATGTTCCTTTCGATTTCCAAGGAGAATAGGAGGGACAGTCTGTTTGCAATCTATTTCCTTCGAAGTTTGTGGGAAATAAAGGCAGACTCCGATTGGCTCTTGCTCAACTTCCGACGAGTCATCGTGGCGGCAAAACTCCGTGGTGTGAAGCTTGTGGAAGGAATTTTTGCGGTTGTCATTCGGTACCTTGCGTCAGTTGGAGATATGCCGACTGCACAAGCCGTTTACGATGAGATGGTCTTCTATCATCAACTCAAAGCAACTTTCCACTCGAGGACTTTGTTGATTCGTGGATATGCAAGGATATGTGATTGGTATCGCGTGGAGCGAGAGATAGAGTCTCTACATGGTCAAGGCCTTTCTCGAACCCGCCCGCACGGCTATGCTCTCATGATCAATGCCGTGCTACAAGAATATGCCGCTCGGGCATCCATTGAGCAATTCCAGGATCTCCTGATCAAATCTATCAGCTATTGGGGCCTCGTTCCCACCAGCGCGATCTCAGTAACCACTATTCAAGCTTACCTCTCTCACCAACGCTATGATCTTATCAGAGAATGGATGGAGACCCTTCAGGTCCTCTTTCCACAAATTGAAGCCGAAACAAGTTCGTTCCAGTGGTCCCTTGGGTATTCCTGGCTTCGCACTGGCGCCACTTGTGAGGTTATCGAGAAAACAATCAAAGCAGTGGCTTACCGAAATCCACACACCCGACTAAGATCCTTTTCCCTTCCCATGGTTCATGAGGCCCTCTCCCGGGATCTTGCTGCTAAGCTTGACACCGCAAAGGCAAAGACAGAACCGTGTAAGCAAGGATCCATGTTCTCCAGCGCTGAAGGCAATGATTTTATCTCCACCAAACCCCTTGACGACTATCTCACCGCCGCCTTTTCTCTAACCGCCTCTACGGTTTCACAAAATCTCCAACCTAGCCCAGAAGTTATAGAGCTTCACCGTCAAGCTACCGCCGTTCAGCGCCTCAGCACCTTCCTCACCAGCACGCCCTCCTCAGAAGAAGCAGATCAATTCAGCTTTCCGGACCCTGGTTCAGGCACCACCACCGAATTCGATACACCCAAGTCCCCAGTACCCACGACCACCAGTTTATCCCATTTGCAAGATAGCATCCCCAGGATCCTGACCGCTGAATTTCTACCCGGCACCGCCGTTATCATCACCGCAGTGCTTCGTTTCTATCATGCCCGTGCTATGGAAAGACTTACAACTGACCACGCCTTGCTACTGTGGGTATGCGACAAGCTTCTACATGCAGATCGGGCCTTCAGTGCCACTGATGTCATTCAGGAGGTGTATGGTGACGCCATAGTTCGCCGGTTAGCCGGCCTTGATGAGTGGGGCTCCCGCGGTGCAGTTGATGTGGAACTCCCAGGTCAAGGAGCCATCGGATTCGGCATCCAATTCTACGAGTTTTGGATGCGACTTGTATGGGTGACCAGAAGCCTCTTACAGTTCAAGCGCGTGACGGCTGAGGTTCTCCGCCTTTCGAGACCTGGCCGTGAATTCTCGTACCGCATGGATGACGGGACCGAGAAGAGCGTGCTGACGGGATTGAGAATTACTTCTTCCTTTCTATTTCTGACGAGATCGATCGCGTCAAGGGGTTTGAAGAAAGATTCCTCGATGTGGAGGCATGAAGACGAGGATGTTCCTGTTAGGGAGGTGATCTGGTTGATCAAAGAGCTAGAGAAGAGAAGGGAGCAGCAGATTGGGAGGATGGAAGCTGGAATGTGGATGAGGACAAAGTGGAGGCACTTCCAAAAGGGATGGAACGAATGAATCATGCTCAGCAAGTAGAAGTAGATTATCTGTTTTGACGCGCACATTCTACCACCCGTGATAAACTGGAAACAAGAAGTCGATACCATTCGCAAAGATCAACCTTCTATATAAATCCGAATGCTGCATCTTCGCGCGCCACGATATGCAGTCATAAGTATCAAGGCACAGCTCCGAGCTCCCAACCCGAATCAACAACCAAAACAACTACCTAATCACCCGCAGCACTGCTCCGTTACTGTACGGGCAAGCATTGTCCAAGCCAAATGTCGCAATCCGGAAAACCATCTCGGACTGACCACACCCAGCTCCAAGCAAAGGCGCATCTAACTTTTTGACTTGAACCCACCTCCTCCCCCTTATCCCCCGTCAGCCAAAGAAAACCCAGTCAAATACCGAAACGTGGAAACGAGTTGTAATCGTGTACATTTAAGTTACATAACGTATCGCCTACATTCAGTTCCTTTCCATTCACAGCCAGATGTCATGACGAAGCCTAAGTTAGTGTGCTGCTGATCAGACTGCCCTTGTTCATTGTGGCCTCTCTGTCTCTGTCTCTGTCTCTTCCTTTCCTTCCTTCTGCTTCCTGCGTGCATTTGTTTACCTTCTTACTAGCCCCCTTGCTTCCTTGCTTGCTCTATACCTACCTACCTACCTTGCAATCGGGTGGCTATGCTTATTGTCCCATGCCCTCTCCGTTCATCTCACTAACTACATCATCTCCTTGAGATTGAGAAAAAAAGAAATCTGAGATGCGGAATGCGGAACCTTCGGTCCTTCGGCCTCGGTCTGTCAAGAGCTCAATCGGACTTAGTTACTCCCAATGACCTTCTCTTGTATGAGTTGGTTGGATGAGTTGGTTTCCCCATCTAGGTAGAGGACGGAAGGAAGGAGTCTTTCGACGATGTTCTCTCTGTCATATGGAATCTGGGAGAGAGAATGAGCGGGCGCTGTATTTTACTATGTGGGCAACGGGGCAACGGGGCAACGGGCAACGGGGGTGTTGGGGGCTGAGCAGGCTCTGCCCGTGTCCGTCTGCTGTGTGACTACGGAGTGTTGCACCAGGATGCACGAATACGATATAAAATATGTCCTAGCTGGACGGTACTTTTCTTATATAACCCCCGATTCAGCTGATGTACCTCCCAACCAACCCCCGTCCCCCCTCCTTCTCTCGGGGGGGAAGAGCAATCTCTCGCATGCCATATACACACGCCTATCATCGACAACGAGGCCTACAGACGTCGGGCTGATTTTTGGATTACCGCAATATTTAATACCAATGGAGGGGGAATTTCTAACAAGTGGGCGACGCGGAATTCAAGCAGCTACCAACCAGCCACTCGTACTAATTGGTCAAAGTACTGTGAGCCTGAACGGAAGCAGAAAGACTTTAGAGAAAAGAAGTTGATCTACTGGGTGATTTAGGTTTGGCAATGTAGCCCAATGGTTGGTGTAAGTTGCTGCTGCTGTGATCTATCCTCTCGACCATCCAGCCTCCGGTGCAAGGCAACTCTCTGTTCTCACGTCAGGCAGCCGCATGTATTTCCATGCCTGTGACGGCATCTGCGTGGGGTAAGCACGTTATGCGAGCGTAATCAGCTTAGCAAGCACCTATTCAAGTGCTGTTCAGTTTGCGGGTCGGAAATACGATTGCATCGCATGCGCAACTCGAAAGACATGCCTGAGCCGATGTGAGGAACAGAGATACCGATGTAAGCTAGCTAGCTAGCTAGCCAATCTGCTGGAGATATGGATATGGCCGTGTGGGACTGTTCTCTAGGCTGGAACATGCGTTGTATCCCCAATTCGATATGGTAACATCATGGGAGCATTATCATCGGATTCAGGCTAGCCCGGTTTGAATAGCTAGAATGTCGCGGCGATTGACCTTTGTGGTGTTGTTCACATCCGAGCATATGATATGAAGAATCTTGCCGAATAAGTTTCGCCAGAGGAACGCTTTTGGGCTAGAGGATCCTGTTTTGGTCTGTACTATAATCCTATTTCCGCCAGGAACCGTCCTAGCTAGCATCTCATCGCCAAACTCATAGAGTATGACCAGCGATGCGAACCTGCTTCTTCCAACTAAAGAATTCCTTATTAACATCCTTCTCACCTCCTCACATATGGCTGCTGAAAACCAGGCGGCAGAGCCGGCGGCCCACCAACCTGCTGCGGAAACCCAGGAGGTGGACCAAAACCAGGTGGCATGGCTCCTTGCGGCGGTGGTGCAATCCCCTGCGGAGGCCCAGTGAAGCCCGGTGGCATGAATCCCTGAGGGCCGCCGTACCCAGCCTGTGACGGAGGTGGTCGGGCAGGTAAACCAGATGGTGGAGCAGTGAGTGGTGCACTAGGTGGTGGTGGAGGCCTTTGATGCTGAGGTGGAGGAACACTATTGTATGTGCCGTTCGGCATGACTGGTCCGCCATTCACCGTCATTGGTGGAGGCATTCCTGGTGGAGGTGCGGCGCCCATCGGTGGTATACCTCCGAATATGCCTGCTGGTAGCGGTTGAGCTTGGGGTTGAACGTTGTGTTTCCTGGCCTGAGCGGCTAACATGCGTTCTGCTGGGTCGCCGTGTCGTTCTCCTTTGCCGTCTTTCTTGTAGGCGTATTGGACTGAGATTTCTTTGTTCATGAGGTATTGGCCGTTCATGTTTGCAATGGCGTCATCGGAAGCTTCAAAGTTGGAAAAGGATATGAAGCCGTAGCCTTTGGAGAGGTTGTTGTCGTCTCGCGCGACCTACCAACAGATCATATTAAGTTGGCGCTTCAAAGCAGGAGTCGAAAGAGATACATACCTTCGGCGCAGCGATCAAACTTCCAAATCGACTGAATGTCTCATACAGAACTTGCTCGCTCACCAGTGGATCCAAATTCCCAACAAATAGCTCGGCTCCAACCTCGACCGTCTTCTGCTTGTCTGCGCTGGCCTTGTTCACCCTGATCGGCTTGCCATATAGCCGGACCTGATTCATGATGCGAGCGGCATACTCGGCGTCCTCCTCGGCAATAAATTCGACGAAGCCATAGCCTTGATGGGTCTGAGTGACACGGTCTTTGGGGAGGTGAACGTTAACTATGCGTCCGGCTTGAAGCATAAGCTCCCATACCAGATTGTCTGTGACGCGCTCATCGAGATTTCCGATGTAGACTGTAGCTTCTTTGTCTTGTTCCCTAGAAGACGCGTCAGATGAAGCTGTAGAGGGAGGACATGGTCACCTACCAATGCCTTGCGCTTGACATATTGGGCGGTGGTCAATGAAGCTCTTCGACAGATGATCGGTGATCGTTAGATCCTGGAATCTCCTTCGTAGGCCTCAAAGCGGGGGTCAACGAACGCAAGAAGGGTCTACAAACGAAACAGCGCTTCGATACTCCGTGCTGTGAACCACTTATGAATGCAGAGTAACAGAAATTGTTCCTGCGGTATCGTGTATCGTCTTCCTTCAGACGACAATCAAGCTGTAGTCATTGCCAAGCATTTCGTCCAATCCGCCTCCAAAATTACTGTACATGAAGCTCGAGTTCATCCTCTACATCTCACGACGGCAACTTCTAGAACGAAGCTGCGTCAATCTGCAAAGGCATATTTATCACCTCTTCTCCTAGCTTCTAATCCTCCACCTCAGTCCCACTCTGTCGTACACCTATCCAATATGCCGCAGCTCCAGCTCTCCGAAGAAACAAAAGTCAGTCAGAGCGCATACCTATCTTCCTGTTAAACCCAAACTAGATAATCCCCTTGCCATCAAACTCATTCGTCTCCGATTCTCATGAGTCTACTGACCTCCTTCGAAACAGGAGCGCATTACCAAAATCCTAGACATTTCCCGCATAACTCTGCACTATGGATACCTACCATTGATCATCTATCTCGGTGGGTCTCCCTCTTTTGGCATCCTGACGCTGTTTTTCTTCCCGAACGAGGGGGAGTAGATACAGCTTGGGGAAGATGACGAAGAAATGAGAGGGATTAAAACTGATCTGGCATTCCGAAATAGGATACACAAGGAGTGATCCGAAACCTACGCTCATCAGACTGATATCGCCTTTTGCTTAAAAAGTTCATGAGCGATGACGTGAAAAAGATGCTGTGGCCTGCATCTAGTGACGAGAGAAGTGAAGCCGGAAATGTACGATAAGGGACAATGTGACTGGGATACGGAGCGCAGGGTTTAATAGGGAAGACTCCGCGAATGAAGAGGAGAGGAAAATCTCATTCTGGTTAGAAATCATAGCTCACCCGCATTCATGGTCAGACTTGATCAAGGAACAGAGCATGGACACGATCGTGCAGCAAAGCTACAGAGTCCATGCATAAGAGCAGCAAGTGACAGACGATGTATGGACTATGCGAAGTCTACTCTTTATCAGTACTAACAAAGAGTTCCTGGACCATTTCACATATAACATTAAACATTCCTCCAATTTTGCCTGCAGCAGGATCCGTTGTGACATAATCCATCAACCTGCTGTACATATTTCCCCTTTGACCATTCAAACTTACTCTCCTGGTATATAAAAAAAAGCACAAAACCACAATACCCAAGACACCAGCGCTATCCACGTCTGCCCCGCTCTTCCTCCTAAATGCTGTGTCTCTGACCCGATCCTGCCTCTTCTCATCATATTCTAGCTAAATCCAAGACATGCTCAAAAGTCCTCAAAAGCCTTCTCATACTCCCTCCTTAACTCCTCCGTATACGGCCCTCTCCCGCCCTCGCTTTCCTCGCCCTCCTCCGGATCGGGATAATCATCGAAATTCCCTGCATCACCCGCCCACTCGACCCTCGGTATGATCGGACCCCTCACATTCTTATAATACAGCTTATCCCAATCGACGCCGTCAAAGAATGGGTGATTCATTACCCTCCCGCTCCCGCCTGCAATGAACCCCAGCCTTTGGGTGGGGTCAGTGCGACAGAGAGCGAGGATGAACTGTTTGGAAGCGGTGTTGATGTGGAAGGAGGACGATGAGGAAGGAAATCGGATGTGTCCGGCGACGATCTGTTCGTAGATGCGCATGGGGTTTTGGTCCCAGAAGGGCGGTTGGCCGATCAGCATTTCGTAGACTAGGATCCCAAGCGCCCACCAGTCGACTGCCATGCCATGTCCTTGGTTGCGGATCACTTCTGGAGCTAGGTATTCCGGTGTGCCACAGAGAGTGTAGGTGACGCCTCGGCCGTGGGCATCTGAACCGACTTGGCCATTCTCACTGCTGTTACCGCCTGGTGGAGCCGGTGGCAGGTATTTGGCAAATCCGAAATCGACGAGTTTGAGATGGCCGTCGGCGTCAAGGAGGATGTTTTCCGGTTTAAGATCTCGATATGCCACGTGGACGACGTCGTGCAGGTAGCTGAGGATCAGTGTAATTTCGGCGGCATAGAATTGGACCGTCGTGAATGGGAAACGGCGTGCTCGGCGGAGGTAAGAGAATATTTCGCCGCCAGGTGTGTATTCGAGCTGGAGTGCATTATGTCAGAGTGGTGAGTCGTAGAGCAGGGGTCCCTGGAATACAGATGACTAGGAAACGGAGCATACCAGCATGTATAGACTAGTGTCATCCGAGAAACTTGTCACGAGAGTGGTAATGAGAGGATAGCCGGCAACCGCAGCGAGTACATTTCGTTCATTTCGTACATGCTCGACCTGCTTGAGCTTGATGACTGCGAGAGGTGAGCAAGCTGCATTCATGGCTTCTCAAAAGACGAAGACCATACCATCTACCTTTTTTAAGACTTTCAACGCAAACACCTTGTTCTTGTCTTCGTGCTTTGGATTTGCGAGCCGTGCCAGCCAGACACGCGCGAAAGTGCCTACTTAACACATCAGTCCCAATCAGCCTCCAAGACGAATGCGCAGATATACCTGTCCCCAATGTCTTCATCAACTCGAAATCCGTGACCTTCAGCTTTTTAGAAGAGAAGCCGAGCTTCCCGTTGACTGGATCATGGTGAACCCTCTCCGGCGGTACGATCTGCTGCCGCTCTCCGTGATGCGCAATAAAGTTCTTTTCATCCTCTCTTGTATTTCCGGGGCCGATGGGGTGGGACGCGCTCCTTGCAAAGCCTTTGTAAAGCGGAATGGGTTGCGTCTGGTACCGCTGAGCTGAAGAAGAGCGTTGCAATGATGATGGAGGCTGCAGTTGTGACTGCGAATGCGGGTGTGTTTGTGGCTGCGATTGCGATTTAGAGTAAGTCAGCGTTGGGAAGGAGGTAGATGCCATTGAATAGATGACAAAGAGACATGACCGTCAAGGTCAAGGTCAAGGTCGGATTGCACAAGTACATCAACTTGACCGCATGGTCCTCTTCATGCGGATCGGCTCCCTTCTCTGGCAAGCAAGAAACACTATCAGCTTTGGGTTGATTTAATGAGACAGTCAGTTTATTGAGACGACAAAGGATAACCTTAACCAGGCTACTCTGGCCGTGCAGATGGCAGGGATGCGTCAGGAGTGAATCGTGTTAGGGAGTGTGTAGCAGATGAGACTGACGTATGAGGGGTCCGCCTTTCAGGGCTATTTTTACCCGTGAATGAAGAGGCTTGAAGACACTAGCAGAATTCGACGCCTCTGGCCAGATTTTGTTCACTGCTACCACATTGGAGATCCTAGTGTGGTCATCAGGTCCGTGCAATCTGCCTGCACGGGAAATGTATGTGCACGATGCATGCACAAGATCCGAAGTACATGTTCTGTTGGACGTTCCGTTACCATTCAAATGATATTCCGTAGCTCTCCGGAACCATAATCCAGACCACGAGCCAACACAACGCCCAGGATGCCTGTGCTTGGTGCTGTATTCAAATAAACTCATTCATTCTCCATTCGTCAGCCATTGGACATACACCGCCTCCAGCAGGCACATTGACATGCACCATCTTCTTGATTGTATGTGTACAGAACCAAGAGCATATCCATCACTCAAACCTGTTCGAGTTTTCGCTAAAAACGCTTCAATTGTGCTGTCTATTTTGAGTTATAATCCGACTGTATTCCATGTTGCCTCCGAAACCTGCTTATGCATTGCATGTACGCTCAAATTTGGCCGATCTTGACCAGGAATGTCACGATTCATGTGGATCAATTGTTCTTCATGCGCTCCGATTCCGGCTTCCACACACCTGGGACTGTCAGTGGACATGAAGTGTAGACTTAGGGACTAATACCTGAGAATTCATGTTTCACAAAAGCCATGGGATCATCAATCCCTCCAGCTCCCATTTGCTCTACTCCAGGACTGAAGCTAGTGATAGGCAGGACGATAACATCTCCAACCTTCTTCTGGCTGCTGATCCCAGCAAAGTCTATAACAGAGATGTTGGCACCCCTGGCGCTATAGTCGAAGAATGATTCATTGTTGAAGTATGAAAATATCGCATCAGTGAATACTGCAGGACCAGTGAATTCCACGACGCTCTTATCCATCTTGTTTGCCTTAAGTATCCCTTGTTTTTTCATGCGAAGTGTTTCCTCCGTAACGGTAGCAACTAAATCGCGAAGTGCCGGATGACCTGGTTTAGATTGGATGGTCCATTGACAAAACTGAATTCTCCTCGAATACCATTGCGCCCAGTCTTTTCGGTCAGTAGCATCTGCTTCAATCCCAACCACTAATCCAACGGTTGATCTATCAAAATCCTTTGGTAGCCAATCGGTGGCTGGCTTAAGGGCTTGCGTGTCAATGTCGGAATAAATCCCACCTCGAGCGAGGAGGATGAGGTATCTGAAAAAGTCGGCTTTGAGAACAGGTAATGGCATGGAAGCATAGGCTTCCGTCACTTCTGGTACGGAGGCGTAAAGGTATTTGATTAAGTGTAAGGCTGCATCATCCGTAACCACTTCATGGATGAATCCTGGGTGTTGTTCTGTCCACGATGCTTCTAGTGGTCTCAAATTCTCACCAAATTCTCCCGAAGCTGGGCTATATTTCCATGTTTGCCAGATATATGCAGGGAATTTTGATTCGAGGTCGTATGGAAATTGATATCGTAGTCTTTCTCGTAAGGGCTTCGACGCCAGATTCTCGATGGTCTGTTGACTTGATGGTCTATTCTTTGTGGATAATGAGGGGGGGTAGCTTCTTCCCCGTGAACCTAATCCGAATGAAGCCGTGTTCGAGGTAGATGCGGAGGATGATCGGGAGGACTTGAAAAGGTAGAATATTGTGAAGACGCAGACCGCCGCTAACAGGCTCTTCCGATAAGTCCACATGCTGAATATATGACGGGATAGACACTGGGCCGTGAAAGGATAGACAATTGCAGTCACCGCATCGGAAACGTATTCAAACTCGCGTTTGCTGAGGAGTACAAGTAGGCAACAGGTCTTTGAACTGGTTGAAGTTTGAGGAAGGGACAACGGTATTAATTCGTGGATAGTGTGATCGCAAGGCTGAATGAGTGTATTTTCAGGTACTAGGAGGCCGAAGCGAACAGTAGATGATAGGTTGGGGGGCCCTAGGCCGCGTTGGCAAATACGAAGCCAGTCAATCAACCGATTCGGAGGTAACAATCAAGTCACAGCCCTCTATGAATCAATCCAGATCGAGGGCTTCGTTTTGAGTACGAACGGCGGAAAGCAGTTGTAGAACGACCCGTAAAGGTCAGGGAAGACAAAAACGAGCGTCGGAGGATGATAACTTGTTGATAAGGGAGGGTGTCCGTTTAAGCGAGTTGATTCAGCTCGTACCTCTCCAACAGTACTAAGCTTTATTGCTTAGGCGGGTGTTCCACCGATCGGCGGCCGGATACCACGGAGGCGCAAAGATAGCGCCTAAGCTTGCGTCACGGACCCCCGAGAGGCTGACATGTGCCAAATAGGAGGCTTTTATTTGACAACCACTCGTGATGAATTCGAGGTACCATGCAATTTTCCGAGTGCCAACCGCTGAAAAAGAAAGAAAATACAAATCTCATTCATATCTGGTCAATGCTGCGCCACTTTTGGTCTTCACATCTGTCAGACACTATCTGAAACTCCAAGCATGCCAATCGTGTGGGGCCACTGTTTGTGCTACACAACCTGCCTAATGGATGCAAGGAGGTGTGTCATCCAAAGCAACCTTGCCTTACAAATGGCTAGAACGAATTGATGATTGCATACGAAGGGGCCCAGAAGTAACAACACTGATAGCAGCGATGACTGCACAGCTAGACGGCAATCTAACCGCACATTTCTTGAAAAGGCAGTAGTAGATATATAACGAATAGCTTTAGAATGCTTCAATCTCGTAGCTATCCAGGGTTTTCAGAACAACACACGTTTCGACAGGATGGTAGTAAAACAAATGCAATCTGGGGTCACGGCTAAAGTTCGGAACAAGCTATTGTCTTGAGCCAATCATTGAGCTCAAAGATGATGCCATCAACTTCGCTTCGCAGAGTGTCAACCACGCCGTCGCCAACTGCAAACATGGCTTTCATCAGTTATCACAACGCCTTTATAAGGCTGCTTAATAGACTTGACGCCGACCAAATTGGTCATCACGATGGCAAGCCTTCGAGAAGCCAGATTGGTGGGTCGGTTGCTCAAATTATCTTTCATGATACCCATCCGTCCGTCTCCACCACAGCGACCACAGTGGGTTCGAAACTCTATCAATCTTCCTTCCAAACGTTCAATCCGTACACAGCCCACCCTCAAAGCTCAAGAAGCTCTTGCGGAAGTCGAAGAAGAAATCTTACCACCTTCAGACTCATCCAATCCTGCCCTCTCATTCCCCTGCCTTGATGCTCAGGAAGCTAAAACAGCGAAATTATCCAATCGATCCCTTGATTCTGGACCTGAACCTTCGTATACGACGGGAAAGCATTTTCGATATCATTCTCAGGAGCCGCTCTTACTAGATTGGGGAGGAGTACTACCAGAATTTGATATTGCCTACGAGACGTGGGGAGTTCTGAATACGGATCGGAGCAATGCTATTTTGCTCCACACCGGACTGTCAGCATCTAGTCATGCTCATAGTACGGATCTGAACCCTAAACCCGGTTGGTGGGAGAAATTCATTGGGCCCGGACGTCCTCTTGACACCAATAAATATCACGTTATTTGCACAAATGTTATCGGCGGCTGCTACGGCTCAACAGGTCCGTCATCCATTGATCCTTCAGATGGTCAGCGCTACGCGACTCGATTCCCCATCTTGACAATGCAGGATATGGTCAGAGCGCAATTCAGATTGGTGGATGGGCTTGGCATACAAAAGCTATATGCAAGTGTTGGAGCTAGTATGGGAGGAATGCAATCGTTAGCTGCCGGAACACTCTTTCCTGATCGGGTGGGAAAGATTGTCTCGATATCTGGGTGCGCACGAAGTCATCCTTACAGCATAGCCATGAGACATACACAGCGGCAGGTGTTGATGATGGATCCGAATTGGAATCGTGGTTTTTATTATGATCCAGGCCGGATACCACCTCATAGTGGTATGAAATTGGCAAGGGAGATCGCAACTGTTACCTACAGAAGTGGACCAGAATGGGAGAATCGATTTGGCAGACAACGAGCTGATCCATCCAAACAGCCAGCACTGTGTCCTGACTTCTTGATCGAGACATATCTGGACCATGCTGGAGAGAAGTTTTCATTGGAGTACGATCCTAATAGTTTGCTCTATGTATCAAAAGCGATGGACCTGTTTGACCTTGGCAGTAAGAATGCTGTCAGCACTATGCAACGTCGGAAGGAGAATGCAGCGAAACTTTCTGGGAGCGGGGCAGTGAAAGATCAGCGTGACCTTTCCTGCAGCCTTACACTACCGGACGAAAAGTACGAAGAACAAGTTCAGTCTCCACCACTGGATCAAAAGGTCGAAAATAACACTTTGGGACCTCCACAAGATCTGGTTGACGGTCTGGCCGGGCTAAAGAATCATTCTACATTGGTCATGGGCGTCGCAAGTGATATCCTCTTTCCAGCATGGCAGCAAAAAGAGATCGCGGAGACTTTGCGATCAGCCGGTAACCAACAGGTCAAACATGTTGAGTTGGGGGAAGACATTAGCTTATTCGGCCATGACACGTTCTTGCTTGATCTCGAGCATATTGGTGGCAATCTTGGCAGGTTTCTTGATTGATTGAAAGCATTTCTAAAACATGGTGATGGCGTTGGGATTACATGGATTTGGTCGAAGTGTCATAGTTATAGCATGTTGAAGTAGTGCTATGATATTAAATACATCAAAACAGCCCGCTCTAACGACGCCCAGAATTTTCGATCCAAGCAAAACTTGTGCCACGCTCGGGTAAGGAGGAAGATTGAGGATAGAGTTTGGACGGCTCGAATACGAGGGCATGGAATGTCATACATATCTTCTGCAGAGAGTTGGCATTTGTTTCATTTTAGAACCTTTTGTACTTTAACGTGCATTTGGTTCTGGGACTTTCGCTGCCAATGTTTGTTCTTTACGCCACACTTGAACTTACGTCTCTCACACGATCCTACTACATGTTCTTCTTTCGAGCTTTGGCTAGTCTCTTCTGCAACAGTATGAACACTACGAGGTTGAATTTCGGGACACCATTAGGGTTGGGCCAATGTTGCTCGTCTCTAGAGTAAGCGACCAGTGTTCACCAACGACTTTCAATATTGGAGCCTGCTGCTGAGGACGAAATTATCTCCTGTCTTATTACGTTCCGCCTAAGCAAGCAAAGGTAGAGAATGATGTGAAAGCGAGCTATTTCATGGAAACGGAGCGCCCATTTCAAGTGAGATTTGAGATGACACAAAACATCGGCAATGATGCTCTGATGAAACGCATATTCCGCTTAGGTAGATCGTCACTGGGATTGTGGATGGAGTCACTACCCAAGGAACGCTGAGCTGGATACCAAGCGCTCAGATCTATCCGTGTGAATTTCGATCTGTTGCATTGCCAGTGCTAATCTGATGAACATGGAAAATGACGAGTGGAGAACTCATGAGGTGGCCGAGGTGGGATGTACATCAGGTCAACAGCTTTATCCAGTCCATGAGAAGGTTGTAGAACCATTGCATCGCAGCTTCGCTAACAACCACGGTTATGTTGACCAGAAGCAGGAAATAAAGCCATCATGGCTTCGAAATTGTTATGAGTAAAAGGAAGCTGATTCGATAGTGCAGCTGGTACATTTGCCTTGTGGAAATTGTGTCTCGATGTGGCTGGCCGCGAGGATATCGACATACTGTTTGTTGGAGCATTGATGATCATTTGGAAGAGGCAGAAGGAGTCTGGATAGTAGGCTAAAAGGGGTAAGCATGAGTTGGCGACACATGTGTTGAAAAGGGAAAGATGGTTTTATTCCACATCTGTAGGACTGGAAAGACCAAAATATGCTGGGAACGAGATCCACACCCATCCCGCTTCGCAGAGAATTCCATGGTGTGTGTAAATCTGTCTTCAATCTTCATAAGCAGAATAGAGCTCGTAATCCATGTCGCAGAGCAAGCTGTATGAGACCCATTTCGATGAGTTCAGGTAGCCCTTGCCTGACTGGATCTGGGCAAGAAATCTAGTGCGTACGACGCAGAACGACTTTTGTTTTCAACTGCAACTTGAAGTGAAGAAGTAGCTACTCCGTACAGGAATGAAATCCGGCCTTGGCATCGACGTCCAACCTGCCAGTGAGCTCCAGCCACAGCACACCTCAGCTTCAACTTGAACCTCCAACACCCTCCCCCCTCTTACCTACAACGTATCGTGGCTCCTTTCATATCTCCCTTACCAACCTAAAACATGTCCTCGCACCGACTTTTTCGATTTCCTAAACCTGCCTGGCTAAACAGTGCTACAACCCGAACCGCAGGCGTCTACCTAGCCGGCGCACTCGTTCGTTAACACCTCTCCCCTTAACGCCTATCATCTCTGACCATTTCTAGTTTTCCCTTGGAGCTTTCTTCTTTATAGATGCTGCAACCTACTCACACTCGAACCTCAATGCCTCCCTTTTCCACATCACCTTCATTGACTGGATCCCACTGATCTGCTCCTCATTGGGCATGCTCGTTATCAATTCTATCGAGAAGACAAGGCTGTCCGCAGATAGCTTCTCCTATTCCGGTTCTGGAGTGGCTTGGAAGGCTAGGTTGGTGTTGTTCTTGGGATTTGCCCTGATGGCGGGAGGGTTGGCAGGAAGCGTCACAGTAATGGTATTGAAATACTTGGTGAGGGATGAGAATGAGGGTGAAGGAGCAAATTTCATGACGCTCTGGCTTGGAATTGCGAATGTCGTTGCAAACGCATTGGTTATGCTGAGGTATGTGTTGAGTTTAGATGAGTGTGGATGTACTGACATATGCGCTAGCTCGATCGTGCTTTGGGTTTCGCAGAACATGGAAGATGATTACACCTATAACCTGGCTCTTTGATTCAGGAGACAGGAAGAGAAGCTGCTTTTGTATTTCTTTTGGAACGAGAAACAGGACTCGAGTCATAATCTGAGCGTTCATGCACCGCTATCTCCCATCTAGTACACGCCATATATCTTTCCCTCGTGCACCATTCCCTCACTTTCCTATAGGTTTTTGAGCAGAGTCTTGAAAGCTCATTTCCCCTTCCATCCCTATCGAGGCTTTGCATCCATTCTACCAGTATAGCATTTATCGAGGTTTTCAATTTCTACAGTGCAGCTGTGGAAGTACTATGCATAGGAGTCACCGGTTCACCCGAGCGCCATCATGACAATAATGGCCTTCACCATAGCTTAGGCGTCTTGATTATTATGATGACCCTCTGCGTACTAATACCACATCACTCGTACCTAAAAGGGCAGACCTTCGCCCTCGTTGTAAGTACGCTTCAACAGACAAAGGGAATCCGTGCGCTCATGAGATATCGTGAGGTACCTCGATGTGGAGAGTGCCTCCTAAAGCCGACCAAGCGGTGCCGCCAGCTGCGCTGCAGGCAACCCGAACAGTTCATTCCATCTCTCTTAAGTGTCTGGACTAACAAGTTCTTCGGCTTTGGGTGCAGTCACTGGCACCGCCTCCTGCCGTCCCGAGGAGCCGCTTCGCTCCGGATGACTTCCATCCCCTGCTGACGCTGCTGGGAGCTCCAGACTGCAATTATGTAGCAACTCTCGCAAGAAGCGCTATTCAGGGGTACTCCTGAACGTACCTTATACATAAGGTTGCTACGATCGAGCAAAGTGACATGCAGACGGTCACCAAAAGAATCGCTTTGGCGACAGAGCATGAAGGCCCCAGTGCGACCGATTATTTAGGTCGACTCCTTCGCCGTACACCGTAATGGAAAGCCCGTAAAAGGGTTTCTCCTGAGCTTGGTCCACGATTAGGTGATGGGCCCCGTTCGAATAGCTGCGCCGGATCCAAATCTGGACATGTCATGGAGTAGGTCTACAAAGGCGATCACGGCAAGAGGATGGATATCTGACGATGTCTGCCTCGGAGTAAACGCGCAGCTTTCTTCCTCCCATCCATACCTCTGGCCATGAACGAGTTGTTGGTGGTGCTTTCGTAATCCGCATTTCATTCGATTTCCTCGACCAAGCGAGACATTCCTATGGTAATGGAGTTCACGGAGAGGGGCAAGAACGGCAACAGCCTGTCAAAAGGAGTATCTATCCGATGGGACTCCAGTAATCGTGGCGGGTCTAGTGGTTGGGCGAGATTCATGGTTTGCAGTCGAGGTACTCGTTGGTAGGTAGACCTTTATGCCTCCTCTCACCAACATTGCTTGGTATGTTACATTGTTGAAAACTTGTCTCAGTCTAGTAGATGATGATGTCGTTACATCTGATTCCTTTCGTAGCTCTCTCCACCAGTCTCTTTGGTGATATATTCCGTTCGAGCAGCCCCTACTCGCCCCTTATCCCGTAGTGAAATAACTCAATATGATTGCTCGCTCCTCCTCGGGCATCTGTAATATCTGCTCCATCGACATTTGGAGCACTTGTCTCCTTGAATCTCTCTCGCCCCTTAGCAGCAGCGCCATATCCAATGTACCGAAGGCGTGACCGCGATCAGCCGTCGAACCATTCGACTCCTCATTTGGCATTCCCAGATTGTACGCCCCAGTACCGGAGCCATACCGTCCTTCACCTAACGTGAAGCTAGCCTTCAACTGCGTGTCGTAGGTGTATACTTCGGCGATACGTGCATGAGCATCTATAACAATTTGCATGATATGAGATTTGAGTTGGGTGTCTACAGTCCAGTCAAACTTGGGTTAGCCAAAGGTGAGCCAAATAGAACGAATGAAGTCTTTACCTTGAACCTCGAGGTTTCGAAGCTTAGTTTTGGGACAGAAGTTGAGGACGATGTAATCCTCAAGGATGTTCCATGTGCTGTATTTACCTCCTGGTCCAAACCGAGCCGCATGCTCCATAATTTGTGCCTTGCTTCCAGACTGAAGAATTTCGATACCCCATTTCTTGTTGAAAACATAGAAGTCGACTTTACCACTCGAAGAATGGGAATACTCGGACAGGATAGGTAGATGGTGGAGCTCGCGAAAAAGGCAACGATACATCTCATCCTGGAATGCTGCCTCTGGAATGCTCCAGCGATCATTAGATCGATTTTGTATGGCAGATGGACTTATCCCTTCGATTGCATTCAGGCATACCTGCAAGAGCGTGCGGCCATCTGCTGCTGCGTCTGGGTCGGGACCTGGTAAGAGGCGCCTGTGCGCAACTCTAGAATAACGTCAGCGTCACCATCATCTTATGGATTGTCATCGTGTACCTTCGATGGACTGGGGACGCAAATACGTATTTGATCTCCATGTCCGTCCCAGCCAAAGGTTCTGTGTGCAGAAATCCCATTTTGTGACAAAATGCAAATGCATCGAAACCTGTCTGTGAATGAACGTAGCCGTCGCGCTGCATTGCTGCTTTTGACATGGCTTTGACAACGTCCACATATTTGATATCAGCATATTCTTCTCTCCACAAAGCGTTCAGACAGAAACTCTCCGCATCCGTTGTCCAAACCCCTCTACCACAACGTTCAAGCACATCCAGATAATTGACTTGATTGGTGATAATGGAATGGCAAAGCTCTGGTGTCCATGTTCTTGACAATCGGACTTTGCTGTCCAGCTGGGAAGCAACTGTTAGCACAAGACGATCCTCAAAAATGATGATTAAGTATTTACCTGAGAGAAGCAAGAATCAAAAGACATCAAAAGCATTCCAAGCATGCCGGGATGACCACTGGTTGCAGTATGCATATACTGCCCCACATTACCCATGAGCTTGAACTTGTTGTCATACGCCCATTTTTGGACAACGTCTTCGGTCTCTTTCCAAGTGAATTGCATACACAATCCACCCTTCACGGAAGGACGTAAATCGATCCTTTGGCTCTGATCAATCTTAATGGCTTCAGATTGAATGTTCTGATCCCTTCCTATGAACCGTGTCAAGGAATCGGTGGTGGATCCATAGACGCACACCAGTACAAATAATGATCGTGATCTGGTGTATCTGTTCTTCAGTACGCGGGTCCAAAATTCAACATCAGAGTAAGAATTCTGCGCCTCGTCGATAAGATATATCTTCTTTGCGTTTGGATGACTGGGCCGGTGTCGAGCATTAATTCTATGCCATTCCTTTGCTTCTTGATTAAGATACTCTATGTAGTTGAGGCCGTTCCGATCTTCTTTGCGTTTCCACTGCATCCAGATTGGTTCGAGAGAATGATGATTATACAAAATATGTCGACCTAGCAGCACAAGCAGTGTCGTTTTCCCAACTTGTGGAGTGGCACGTATGACAACCACCCCTTTCTCTAGCACAAGTCGGAGGGCAGCAGCAACAAGTTCTTCTCTTTGACTCACATGGCAGACATTTGGATCCCATGCTATATTGTCAGTGGAAAGGTCATGGTCATCCATATCGTGTTCACAGAACATGCACACGTCAATCGGTGGAGTGAAAACACCTTGGGGACAGGAACAAGTCCGACAGGGCCAATGAACGATCGCGTTGTCTGGAAGTACTCGAGTCGACACTTCCGATAGAGCCGATGCGAGGTGAGAAGGCTCCTTTGCCTTGCGGGATCTGGGAACAGGAAGCTGTTGCGCCGCCGCCCTTGGACTGCTCAAAAGTTGAGAAGTTTCCTTTGCTCTGCGGGATCTGGGAACAGGAAGCTGTCGCGCCGACGCCTTTGGACTGCTCAACAGTTGAGAAGTTTCCTTTGCTCTGCGAGCTCCGGCGGTAGAGGACTTGTGTATGAACTCTTCCGGCGCGGACGTAGAGTTAGAAATCTTCGTTGCTTTGGATCTGGTAGTAGGAGGCATGATGTAGAAGTAGAGCAAGTGATGACGGTGTGGTGGTCAATGTAGATGGTAAGAAGATTCTGGTCTTATGGATAAGCGCATTTCCTCCTCTTTGTGTTTCTTTGACGATCTTGTATGCAAGTTGGTTCACACTTGCCGAAAATTCTGCAAGTTTGTTTGCATTCCTTCCGTCCGACACGTCACATTCCAAGAACAGCCAATTTCAGCATGAATACCAAAAACGGATGCTTTGTACATATTTTACTGACTTTCACCTAACTAAGACCATTCGGTTGACTGATCTGCTCATAGGTATCGTCACTTTCTTTATGAATGTAATCAACTCCGTGTTCCCCAAAGAGCATGGATTTGTTGGGTGCGGGAGCGTACTATTCAGACATGATGTAGGGAACAACTTTGATCAAGGATCGTTCAAATGGAACAATGCTTCTGCCTTTGGTCCATTCGTCAAGGAAGTGCTTCGAACTCCTCGACCACGTGCAAAGACAGCCCCAGGTATTACTGAGGAGAAAAGTTGTCAACGTTCAGAAAATAGAATTCTGGGTCTATAACAGGAGTACGTTGTGGAGCGAGTCCAAAGAGCTTTTGATCGTTTCGGTCGCTTTCGTACATCCGTAAATAAGAGCCATAAGAGCATGTATATTAGTCCAGTCTTCCTAACTCCTGGGGGAAATAGATAGTCTGTAGTTGGCTCACATCTCAGGGAATACTTAAGTGATGGCATCTTTGATTCTTAGGGTGAGTGCTCGCTCAACCGACGCAGACCACGAATCCAGTCTCATATCGGTGTTCTGGCGTAGGCAAAGGCCGTTCGAGAATTGAGCGAACTACTTGCGTCGTTGCGAGCTACCTTGCGGATGTACAACGATGTTGTGAAGCATTACGAAGCATCCAAAGACCCACCATTTTACTCTCATTCGGGGCTGTAAGCGTATTGTTAAGGTCACGGGGTCAACGAGGGGAATGTCTTCGGGCAGGTACATTCGCACAGGTACATTCGACACAGGTACATTCGGCGTTTGAGTCTTGGCGGGTATTGCGTCATACAAATTGCTAGTAAATTTGCCTATCATAACCAATTGAATGATTTGAACTTCCTATACAAAAAACCACATTGATATTGATGTTGCTTTTACTTCCCAATTAGGAAACAAGTATAGAGAACGTGGTGTTGCAGAACTAGCTCTATCCCTGGGCCGCTCCGCTTGCTCCGCCCCTGCCTCTGGCCTTGCCTCTGGCCTTGCCCTGCCCTGTAGCCCGTTTTGGCGCCTTTTCAGCCTCTAACGCCTTCATTGTAGGCGCTCTCTTACGCCCAGCTCTTGATTGCGTCATCGCTGCTGGCGCTGTTGAAGGGGGGGTATAAAAGCCTCATCTATAGCTTCTTCTTCTTCCTCCTCTTTTTCTTCTTCTTCTTCATTCCCAGGAGTTGGGAAGGACCGATCAACTGTGGTGGTGGTGGTGGTGACAGGGATAGCGAGGGCGCCAGCGGCAGATCCACGAGGGGGGGTATCAAGGACGCTCTCCACGTCAATAGGAGCTGTAGATGGAGGAGGAGGAGGAGGAGGAGAAGGCCCTGCGAGGGGTATTGGCCCTGATAATGAAGCTGCAAGAGCTATACTAGCCTCCTGGCGTGCCTCTCGAGCAGCGGCCTGCTCTTTATTATTGGCGTCACGTTCTGCTGCCTCTGGCCCTGTCATAAGCCGCTTATTGACCCTATCGTGAGTTTTAAACTGACGTCCCCATGAGGATCTCTTGACAGTATCTGGCATTCGAACATGGAGGTCATCATTACCAAGTTCTTGAGCGAATTCAATAAGACCTCGTTGAGCTTGAGTTGCTGCGTTTTCGTAGCGTTGACGCGCGTATCCTGTAAGATTATCTCGTGCCTCTATGACCTCTAGATCAAGCCCTGTTATTTGAGTCCTTATAGGAGATAGAAAAGGGTTCTGAATAGTTGTATTTCGAGGGGGGGATAGAGGTAATTCAGCAGTCTGATATAATGGCGACCAGTTAGCTATCCTAACAGGCTCTCCTTGTAACCACCAACGAGGGTGTAAAAGAGAGCGAGGGATCAGTAAGCCATTAAGGCATACTTGACGAAGATAATGCTTGCAAGGAAGGCCAAATCGAAGTAATATCTCGCAACTAGTGCAGATATCTGATATAGCTTGAAGTGAGCCATCTTGACATCCTAATTTCGTAGCTTGCCACTCAATAGATAGCCGCTGAATAGCTTGAAACGTTACTGTATCTGCCAGCCACGAAAATGCATGCAAATCTAGCGTTCGAGGTAACTTACTGCCTATAGGCCTCCTCCTCATTTAGTTCTCGGAATTTTGCCTTGATAGTCTCTCCTAGACGTCGTGCTACCTCCTCCATACTTATATTCTTGTTGAGGATCTTTGTAGTCACAGGATGAATGCTTTCAGAGCGCTGATTTGAATGACTGCCCAGGTTAGGATAGCTGCGAGTATAAATACGCAAAAAACGTATCTCTCGAGGACCCCAGTACTCCTCTAAGTACTTGATTTCGCTCTGCTTAAGCTTTGAATGTAGCTCTATCCGACGCGTAGCAAGCTCCCCTTGCGTATGGCTTTTGACAAAACGCTATAGAATATCTCTAAGCTCTTCACAGGCCTCCTTTTTGTAACCCTTGTCTGCTAGCCGCTTCATAACGTTCTCTACAGCGTGCCAGTCGCAGTACTGTAGAATTGCATCAGGAAGAGCTGTAGGGAGTGACGCTGTCATGCCAGCTGCTTAATCACTAAGTACCAAACGTGGCGGAGGAATAGGAGGATAGAAAACGCGCTATTTAAGGCTCTAGAAGATGAAATCGAAGGACATTTTGGATTCTGAACGAGCAAATGATAGGGCAGCAACGAAGGTCCTGTTACAGTTGGTTATACCTGCCATAACAAGTAGAACAAGATTGCGAGCATTCGTATTAAACGTGCCATCAACGAAAAGGGTCCATCCTGCTATAAAGCGCTGAGCGTATCAGATTTGATCAGGATGAGCGAACCAAATTTGCTATAACTGAGTCTCAACTACCTCGCCAGACTGTTGGTCGATTTCCTCCTCCATACGGCATTCAAAAACGAAACCAGCATCTTCAAGGGCAACAACAAGGCCAGCAAACTCATCTTTTTCAGCAGAGAGAGCGCGATGACGAAGATTATAGTAACTCTTACGATCAAGAGGGAAACCAGCTTGTTCAAGCACTCGACGTGCTGCAGAATACGAGATATGAGCTGACCGCAGAGACTTACCCAAATCCAGGGCTATTTGATACCCAGGGAGGGCCTTTTTGTGCTCTGTGTATACCAAAGGGTTTACCGCCTTCACCGCTATAGAATGGCTATGAGAGTTGTTTTTGACGCCTAATATAAGGCCAAATTCTCGAGATCCACGCTTGCCTATTTGCTTGAAGGCGAGATATATAAGGTATAGACAATTCCTTGCGTTGATAGCTGTTGCTTCTTGCTTACGTCGACTAGTAATATTGTCCTCCTCATCCCTCTCAACATGCTCCTCTAACTTCCTATAATTCCTCGTCGAATTGCCATGATGGATACAATGAAAATAGAAAATCTGACGAGCCTGCTTCATACTCCCGCTTTGCTGTGTTATAGCAAAACCCTGAGCAAAAGCGAAGCCCTGGAGACGCTCTCTGCAGAGCTCTACGTTATCAAAGACCTCTCCGTTCGAGGGTTCATTCAGAAACGCAGGGGGGAAAGCCCTCACACGAGCTTCGACTTCGCCGCGGAGGTGCGCAGGGCAGTGAGGATGGGCAGTCCAAGGAGCAGTGGCCATGGCAACAAGCAGTAACAAAGCACAACACCAAGGATATCTATCTGGATACCTATTTAGGAAGCGACGAGAGGCTCAAATTATGAATAGCAGCAAATTGGCAACGTGTGGGCTTAGGGCAGGAACTCTACATACTCACGTGCCATTTCTTGGCATTATCTTCACAGGTGTTCTTGGTACAGGTATTTCCAGTGGTGTGAATACGTGTTGGGTCATCCGCATGTTGAGCAAGCACATGAGAGAGAAATTGGTTCCGCTGATGCTTCGATGGTTGATAATCAATGGATAGCACCCAACAGGATTTTACAATTAGGATTGTCTTCGCAGACTCCTTCATTCAATTGCTACAATCCGCTACGAAGCCTCACCTCCGACATCTTTGCCAACCGCCTTCTTCCTTCCTCCCTTGGCACAGTTCACGGACTCTATTCTGATTCCGTATGAAGTGTTTGTAAGCGCTGCCCTCAAAATTATAATCTTCTATGCGTCATGCTGTTATCATGGATGTTGCTGTGGAACCGTTCGTGGCGAGCTGACAGCATTTTATCGATCGCCGCCAACACCAGGATCAACCAGTGCACAGAAAACTTAGGGCAGTGCTTTTTGACACCCTTGGCGCTATTCGTTTTAAACTAGCCTATGAGAGTCTGTGCCGTTCTCTTGCAATGTTGGCTCTGTAATTGATGCACAAGGTCGCATGTTATTGGTGCGTTCTTGTTGGGACACTTGATACCGGTACGTAGTACAAAGACATGCATCATCGCCAAGCATCGTCGGAAACAATGCCTCGTTGGAGTACAATTGGCAATGTCGTGAATTCAATCTTGTCAACAGCTGCTAGTAAATCCTGTAAGCGATTGCATAATAGAACTCTGATGGGCCATTGATCAAATTGTCGTACGGGGATTGGGAGATACTAGTATCTTAGAAGTGTGTACATTCACAGGTTGGGGAATGCGTCTAACAGCACTCGGGAGGCAAGTCGATAGAAAAGCTCAGTCAATTTTCTCGCCTCTCTAGCTACAATAATGACACGTCCTTCTCAAAGCTCCTCACTCCCCCCATAAAGCACTGTTCACTGCAAAGGTCTGTAATTCATCTCGGTGTCGTTATCTCTAATGCTGCAAAGCCATCTTAGTAGCTCATGCGACCGCAGGCAAGGCTGGCCCGGCACGCTAGTTCTGCATCACAGTCAGCTTGATGTTCAGCTGCATCGTGGAGTAAGCTGAGGCTTACGCCGCAAGAGCAGGAGCCTGCGCAAGTGCAACTATCGCCGCAACTGCAACCGCTGTTTCCACAATCACCTGAGGCTGTGAGTGAGTAAAGAGTGAGAGACGGTTAGAGTTGAGGGAGCATATACCCATGGTTTTGAATTTGGAAGCAGGTATTCGCTGGTACGAGGTTTATGATTGATTTGCTGACTTGTGTCCTCTGAGTGTAGGTCGAATAGCTGTAATCACTTGTTGGTGTTGGGGATTGAAAGAATTAGCTGAAAGTTGCACTTCTTTTATGTATTCAAGCTGGATCGACGGCTGAGTCATACCAATACCCCACTTGCCGTAGCGCCACCAACCCCACTCACGTGCACCCCACAAATCGCGTCCACCCCAATAACCTAGTGGCTGGTTCTGGTGCCAATCAACACGAATCGAATACGAATCGTTTTCGTAGCGAGGGTTTTTGCCCGGTAGAGGGTAGTTAAGTGGTGGCACACTCAGTCGGCACTTGTCTATCCAATTGGGAAAGGCGCGAAGGCACCCTCGGAGTTGCACGGGTACCTCTCATTGGTACCGAGACCTGGGGGCATCCTCGTATCTTTCAGGCAATTCATTCTCATCGTCACACGCCCAAGCCCGCGGATAATCAGAAAGCATCACACTGCTATGGACCTGTGACGGAACCCCGAGCCTAGATGTAGCAACTCGATGCATTTGAGTTGGGGTCCATCTTTTGACCTGCCTATTCACCTAAGAGGCATGTCTCATTGGATTGCAGACCATGTTATCTATGGTCGTTTGACGGACAACCAACACTACAATTGGTCCCATGCACATCTTCAAAGTCGATCAAATATGATCTTACTCTACACTTCAATTGGCTTCGTGATCATTCCCCGCGGAAAAGGTGTAGATGAGGTTTCATGACTTCATAGCTTCACGCGGAAGGAGAATGCAGGTCGAAGTAAATTGTCTTTTTGCCCAAACCAATCAGAATTTTACCCTTGAAGCTGATCAGTCCCATGGACACCGTCTTGGGCCATAGCAATGCTGCGAGATATAGCACAGGCACGCCTTCTGCATCGTACCTGCGCCTAGCGTGGCAACGAATCCACCAAGAAAAATTACAGACAGTACAGCATCCCCAGGAAGGAGTCATACCTACTCTACTTACCATGCTCATGCCATGTCTTCCGTCGTCACAAACCGAATTATACATCCACGGTCGCTTCCGGGATGATTTGGGATGGTGGCGATATTATCAAGGCTGTAGGTCACTAATATGTGGGGCGAGACTCTAGATGGAGGTGTGGTCACATTCATCCAATCAGCCACGGAAAGACCGGAATGCGTTCGGAGCGGTGCATTCGCAGCGGTGCATTCGGCGTTTGGGTCTTGGCGGGTATTGCGTCATACAAATTACTAACAAATCCACCCATCTTGCCCATCTGAATCATATGAAGATTGTACACAGTTATCCACACTATCTATTGATGCTGTTATAACTTCCCTATTAGGAAATAAGTATAGAAATCATGGTGTATAGAAATGACTCTATTCCCTTGCCCCTCTGCCTACTCTGCCTCTGCCCCTACCCCTGCCCTGCCCTGTACCCCGTTTGGGTACCTTTTCAGCCTCTAATGCCTTCATTGTAGGGGCTCTCTTGCGGCCAGCTCTTGATTGCGTCATTGCTGCTAGCGCTGTTGAGGGGGGGGGAATAAAAGCCTCGTCTACAGCTTCTTCTTCCTCTTCTTCTTCTTCTTCTTCTTCTTCGTCAGGAGTTGGAGGAGGAGGAGGTGCACTTGTAGATGGCATCAGCCCTATTAAAATAAAGCTATAAGAGCCATATTAGTCTCCTGGCGTGCCTCTCGAACAGCAACCTGCTCTCTGTTATCAGCATCACGCTCTGCTGCCTCAGCTCTTGTCATAAGTCACTTGTTGACCCTATCATGACTCTTGAACTGCCTATTCCATCCTGATTTGTTGACGGTATCTGGCATTCGAGTATTAAGATCATTCTCTTTAAGCTCTTGAGCGAATTCAACAAGACCTTGTGAGGCGTTTATAGCTGCTCGATCGTGTCGTGTACGAGCATAGCCTATAAGGTCCTCTCTAGCCTCTAGAACTTGTAGACCAAGCCCTGTAATCTGATTCTTATTAGGAGAGATATAAGGGTGCTATAAGTAAGAGGCAGAATTTGGTAGAGGGGATATCAGTAGAGTGAAAGTATAGTACGTTAGTACCTAATTAGTAATATAGATAGGCTTACTATTAATCTATTAATAAGAGTATATTAAGAATTAAGGGATAAAGACACTATCTTTAAATGGCTATATAAGATAATGTTTGCAGAGAAAGTCAAATAAAACAAGTATCTTGTATTCAAAACAAGAGGGTTTAAAGCGTAGAGTACCTTTATTTATCTTATCTTTTGTGGCCTCCTATTTAAAGGATATCTTTAAAATAATAAAAAGCGATATAGTATTTGCTAGCAATATAAATACTTATAAGTTAAGTATATAAGATAACTTACTATTATTCTAAGCCTTGTTCTAAGATAATTATCTTAGCTTTAACTTTATAGTAACTCTTAATTAATGACTAGCCTCTTTTATACTAAGTTGCTTATTTAGAAGGTCTTTTATGCTAGAGTAAAGGCTCTCAGAACATTAATTCAAATAAGCGCCTAGATTTAGATGCTTTTAAGTATAAATTTATAGAAATTATAACTCTTTAGTATTAGGCTTAACTAGTTAAGACAAGTCTTAACTAGAAGCTGGGTCTAAGTGGGTTGGTTAGATAGAACAGAAAGTGTAGTATTACGGGATATCTCTGTAATGGGGGTATGGTGCTGCTATACTTTATCTCCTTTATAATATACTAAAGCAAAGTATTATCTCTAGTTTCTATTTACTATATCTGTAATTTTTGCTTAGCTTTAAACTAGTTCTATATAATAATAGTCTAAGAGTTCTTTTATAAATATTAAGATATCTTTTGTATAAGAGTTAAGAGGGGTCTTAGCTATTACGGGATATCTCTGTAATAGGGGTATGGTGCTGCTATAGAAGCAACAGAGGGTATCACCTGGTCACTAGAGCTCTGATATAGCTGTTATGATCGTGGTGAAGGAGTGGTTGAGGCTATCTAACAGCTATGGAGGGGTAGAAGGATAAGGCGCAGGGCGCCAAGGCGCGCGAAGCCCTGCCCTAATACCCCTTCGGGGCATTTAGCCAGGTTACTACGTAACAGTTGCCGCCAGCAGAAAAAGACCACGTCCTCGTGGTCACAGCAGCAGCGTAGCAAAACGCAGGAAATGCACAAACAACAGCATCTCTCTGAGCTGACACTCTCTCCTGATTCGGTCTAGCGCCGTAGCCGCGGTCGAGGCTCTCTGTAGAGGGTCAATCCATCAGCCTGGCGACGCCCTTGGAGTCTAGAGCGCCGCAGGGCGTCTTCGTACGCCTGCACTGACTTTTGAGCATTCGGAAATGCTGTTTGAGCCTCCCAAGTATCGTCATCCTCGCCAAAGCCATGCCATCTAACCTTGTATGTTATTGCCTCGCCGTTGACGAGCTTGCCCACTATCTTCTCTATCTCTCATTGTTCCATCCCTTTTTCGTCGATATGGTCTGGTGGAGGAGGTACATTTCGCTGATAGGGGTCGTCTTTAGGGTCTGGCGCAGGATCAAGATGGATCTTATTGATGACTTGGTAGATGCCCCAGCTGGCAAGCAGGTCTATTTGTAGCGCGTTGCCCTTGCCCACGGTCTCTAGAATTCGAAA